TGTACAGTCAGACCTCGCTTATCCGGTCCTCTTTTATTCGGATCCCTCGCCATCCGGAAGAAAATAGCTGGTAACATATTTACAGCATACGTGATGCATCCAACATAAACGGTTTTCGGTTATCCGGTTCAGCGAGGTCTGACTGTATACGCCCAAGTCGCTTCACAGGTAGAAAATCGACAGGGGGCGGATCAACGGTACTATACGGTATTATTATTTTCTTTCCCATTTGTGTGGACCTGCACATACCTGCCAAGTACTGAGAGTGCTTTTTCTGGATCGCCATGGCAAAATCCCAGGATTTGCCTTGGTTTTTCGGGATATGTCATATCTTTACAAAACATCCTTTTTCAACTATTACTTTTGATGGCACCAACATTTCGATAATGGATGGTGATCATCGGATCACACTTACGCATGTTCAAGACTCAAAAAGGACTGTTCATGGAAGGAGCACTACTACTAGTAGATCCACTGTACTGCAGGCTATGGCGGCCCAGAATCGATAAGGACAACTACTGGCCTGTGACAACTCATTTGAAGTGCTCCAAGTAGCTTGTTTCTTGTACAGTGAATTTCGGGATCGCGGGATAATCCCGACAAAATCTGGATACTTGGCAGGTATGCCTGCATTGGGTCTATGAGACATTACACGAACTACAGTCCATTTCAAAACTATAGACGCGTAGGGTTTTTGAAATAATTTCAAATTTGGCTGGAGCTTTTTGAGAATAGTTTTCGGAATATTGCTCAGGTCCGCTCCACAATTACAGGTCGTCCCCCGTTAATACGAGTCCGGTTAGTACATAAACCCCGTTAGTACATAAGAAATCTCAAGTCCCGGACGAAACGCGGTCACTTCCATACAAATTTTGTCGGTTAGTACATAATTCGTTAGTACATAAACCCCGTTAGTACATAACATTTCTCCGTACCCGCATGCCACCTACCTCAATAGTACATAATTTGTTGGTCTTTTGGCCTTCCAGTGGACGCACATCGTGTTCTAGTTTCTACTTGTGGACGCAATTAGCTCAGAAATCAGAGCGCACATCACAAACCGACAAAGCTCTTGTTTTTTCGAGTGACTGTACAGGCGCCGCTGGGCATGTATCATGTAAACTGTAGAATCTTCGCTGACTGTGACCGTTATAACATAATTTTTATGTTATATCGAGGGAATCAAGAATATCTCGCTCCCTAGTCATGGCAGCAAGAAACACTCGGAAAAGTTGAAAAAAGTGAGAAAATTCTGGTATACAAGCAAGTTATGTACACTTTCGTTTAGTACATAAACCCCGTTAATACATAACATTTGTCAAGTCCCAGAGATTATGTATTAACGAGGGACGACCTGTACTCTCATAATATTATAGTTTCTAAACGATTGGATAACAGACGCCCAATTTGGGAAAAATTATGCACAAAGTGATCACAGATTTTATGTGGTATAGATGCTGGCATAACGGTTTTTGCCTAGGTACGCGTCTAGTTTTGAAATGGACTGTACAGTGCTGGCAACTGAAATCCGACCCCCTGAGCGGTGGGTTCACTTCTACCGGTCTCTGTTTCGTAGTTTTGACATCTCGTGTCGGGTCTTTGCGATGTGAGCGCACCGCTCAGGGGGTCGGATTTCAGTTGCCAGCACTGTACTTCCTACGTAGCGTTCTCCTACCTTGAGTCCTAAATCTATCGATTCACCGGGATGCTGCGGTGCCAGCCTTCCGAAGGCCTCTCCTTCAATGCGGCGGCCCTCTGGAAAGGATTCCGCTGCAGCAGCTGTCTTCTTGCCACCCAGTCGCTTGCCGCTTCCTTGAAGCTGCCTGTTTTTCTGTGCTCGCTGACTGTCGGCCAGAAATCTGTAGCGTGAATCCTGAGCCATCGTGTCCGCACAGCGAGCCTTCACGAAAGGTATTGGCACTCTCGAGATATCGGGTGTTGTCTACAATTTGTACAAAGCCAAGCTTTCTCGATCTCAAAGAATGCTGCGAGAAAACGCTAGCCGCTGCTCATTCAAAAAAGCTCTCACCCGGACGCAGAAGCAGAAACCTCAGAGCTCATACTGCATGACGCACATAACGTTCATCGCGGCATCCTATTCCTATCAATTCATAGGATGCTGGCAATCACTCCACCAGTGAGCACCACTTATCTGTCCGTGTCGTCGCTTCAGCTCCTGCCTTCAGAACAAAATTAATAATAATTGAACAATCAAAAAAAAGGCTGCATCGGCGCCGCGCAGCCAGCATTGCGCAGGTATAGTCAGTAATCAAACTAAAATAATTACAATGCATGCAGTTAATAAATAAATCTTGACTAGTAAATAAATGATAATAATATTCGCGGGATCCGCGTCGGCATCGCTTGAATGTTCAGAAACACACATGCAGTTACTTCAGAAAAAAGAGCTGTTTACAGTTCAAAGCAGAGAGGGAACCTTGCGGGTTGCCTTGGTAGACCAGGTAGACTCTACTTGTCATCATGGTCATCATGGTCATAGCCACAGCTACACTACAGACTAGTATGGCTGTATCACCTTCACAGTCAGTCTGTATGATTGTTCAGTTGTCATGGCACGGCATACAGGCACGGCATACAGGCACGGCATACAGGCACGTCTTTGCCAGGGAGTCGTATTTTACGACTCCCTGGTCTTTGCTTTACCACGACCATGTACAATCAGCCATGTATGATTGTAGAGAGTACCAGGACTCGAACATATAAATGGTGCTCCGGAAGTAAAGGCACAACCGGAGTGAAGCACACACACAATAAAACGCTAGGCTACGGAGGAAAGTCTTCCTCGGCTTGATAGTAGAATTCAAAGTCTGCTGGTTCTGGTGGGATCTTTGGTGGCTGGTCGGGAAGCTTGATATTCTCAACGTTGAGGAGTCGTACTTTCAGTTCCATCTCCAGCATCATTTCAATGTCGGCCAGCGATGATGGCTCATTCATCTGATGCACAGACACACACAGACACAGTGGCAGTGCACATGCATACACACTTGGTTAGGGTATAGTTCAAACGACCAAGCTAGAAAAAGCAAAACGAAATGCCGCAACATTTTACTGTTCTTATACTGTATACTCAAATCATATAAAAACCCAAGAATGTGTAGAAAACGTATCTTTCGATCGTCCACCTTGAAACCCGTGCTACTTGTGCACTTGCGAGTGAGCAACGAAACAAATGAGCCTCTTATCTGTTTGACAGTCAAGTAGACTATATTCAGTATATTGGTTGACACCCTGGGTGTCGTGAACCTCACGAGTGACTAAGATCTGCAGAGCACACAGCCGCACCACCCTTTTGGGTGAATTTTGATTGTTCAAAGTGCGGCTTATACTCCAGAAAATGCGGTACCCTGTGACCCACTTTCAGCTGCACTTTGCTATATGTGTCACCTTTGAGCTTGTGAGTTATCCATGCACTACAGCCAAGCGAAGTTCAGACTGGTGTGAGGAAAAAGCAAAGCAGTACATGACATTGTACTCACTGGTTGTTTGAGCAGAACACGTAAGCCATCTACCCAGCTGGCAAACTGGAGAGCACACACAATCACAACAGCACAAGAACAAACAAAGACAGACCCACACTTTGAGTGAGAAATGACCGATTTCGGAGCCTGTTCGGGTGGGGAGAAATGCATTGCAGCCTCTTTGGATCACTGAATCGGATCCAAAGGCTATATCTTTCGAAAAGTGCACTTCTGTCAGATATCAGTATTCGGTATTCCCTTTTAAGTTTAAACGCGTTCAAAGTTTGAAATACATTGCATGCCCACCTATGCCATCAGCTTCAAAGACAACTGTACATAAGTATACAGCAAAGTATGCAGCACAACAACCATGCAACGGTGAGCATGTACGTCTAATACGTACCGTCCGCTCATCTTCAACCAGGAAGCCGATGTGGTCATCGTTGTTGTACATCAGTGCAAATGCAAAGTTACTCCACGTGCCCTGCACACCACCATGCAAGCAACACAGGTACACAGGTACACATACACATACACACACACATGCATACACACACACACACACACACACACACACACGGCACACGGCACACACACACGGCACACAGACACACACACAGACACACACACACACACACACACACACACACACACACACACACACACACACACACACACACACACACAATAATAATGTCATCATCTGCACTAGAATAGAAACCCAAAGTCAATCGTCATGCGATGCCATCCATTCACATTTCCTGGACGAAATGTGTGCTCTGCAGGTCTAAAACAATGCAACACCCATTTTGTCCCACAGGTTGTACAGAAGATCAATGTTCCATGGTTGCCATGACGACTGCAACACGCATACTCACTGGTTTCTTGCTGGATGACTTGACATGTGGACAATCCTTGCCGATAACGAGCTCTCTTACTTCGGAGATTTGAACTGCAAGGAAAAGCACATGTACGTCAAAATAATTTCAAAACCTTAAAAAAAAGGACGTATGCAGTCACCTGTCCGGCTACACTCTCTGCTGATGTCAACGTAGTGCGCGCGCGCGCGCGCGCGCGTGTGTGTGTGTGTGTGTGTGTGTGTGTGTGTGTGTGTGTGTGTGTGTATACCGGTATGTATGTGAGTACATGTGTGTGTGCATGCGTGCAAGCGCATGTATTCACTGGTTTGCACATTCGGACGACATGGTGCCTTTCCTTTGTCCTCACATACAACCCACATGCAGTGATAAGCTGATTTACGCTCAGTATAAACACTGGCATCTATTTTAAAGCACAAGCACGTGTCATGGATGATTATACACAGCACGGTATTGACCTGTGTTGATGGTTGACAGACACATATATTACCTGCCAACCTTTGCAAACCTGAGATGGGGACCTTGACATACCTAGCTATGAAAATGTGTACAAATGTAGCTGTGTGGCATACGACAAATACACGTTTGGGTGCATATTACCACCCTTGATATGAGGATGGTCCCCGGCCAAATCGAGATGGTTGTCAGGTATGCAGCAGTACATACTTTTGTTGGTGAGCTGCTCATAGGGCACTGGTGTGACGTTGGTAAGTTCACACTCGGCCCAGTGCAGTACCATGCGATTGGAGTGCAGGCGACAGCACACTGTGCTCTTTTGTCGGCCTTTCTCCTTCTCCTTCCAGTTGGGGAAGAAGTCGCCGGCTACCAGTGTGTTGAGGCGCTGCGTCTTCACCAGTTCCATGATCTCCGGAGAGATTCGCGCCGATAGCTCCTTGGCCGGAGCGGACTGAGACGTCGTGTCGTCCACCCGACTCTTCTCGTCCTCGATGACGCTGGAGATCTTGGTGTAGTTCATTTCCCAGAGGCCAGCCTGAAAGCAGCAGTGAAGCAAACACGTCACGCATGCAGTGGTTAGTACAGGTTTGCTCTCGATATAACAACTCTCACTTGTACATGAACCTCGTTAGTACGTAAAAAAATCAAATCCCGCGCCAAAACAGCATCACTCGCATACTGTACAACTTTTGTTTCTACACAACATAATCCTACATAACACACCCTATGGCGCGGTCCCCGACGTGCGCACTCTCGATACAACGTAAATTCACGTGCATGGTACGATCAAGCGGTAGCTGTAGCTAGGCAGTTTAGTCCTACATAATGTAGATTCACGTGCGCGGTACAATCAAGCTGTAGCCGTAGCTAGCCAGCAGTTTAGTCCTTTTGTGCATATATTCTGCGGCATTGATCGTACCTGATGTAGATGGTGGTACAGTGTGTATATGTTTGCGCGGTTGAACCCGCCTTGTTATACCCTTAATTTTGAGGTACATCTTGTATTTCACACACGGTTTTCTACATAACATAACTCTCGATATAACATAATTTTTGCGTGGTCCCAGAGATTACGTTATATGGAGAGTAGACCTATACTTGTATTGATTACTGGAATCTTGCTCACAGAAGACCATTTTCAAACCTAAGACTACCTCTGCGTACAAGGACAGTTGCGTTCATATAAATGAATGAAATACTCACAACATCACAGTAAGCTTCTAGGCAAAGTTTATGCAGCATTCAGCACATAGCAAATGTACAATGTGCCTCACGGTCACGTTTCACAAGATATTACATGAAACATCTGACATGAACGCTGACATAAAACATCCAGTACCCAAATGTGAGAACAAAATGCACCTGAGAAAGGACCAAAAGCAGTGCGTTCTTGAATATAAGACCATGCTCCAAAATTGACGAGATTGTGGTACACGTATGATGTATATGCAACGAAGACGTATCAAAAACAAAGAATGAAAGGCAGGAGTCACTGCACGCCAAAAGAACCTGGCAAAGCCGAGACAATTACTGTAATTTCACACATTTTTGGTTTAACGCATGCTCCGTACGCGGAGGCATACACGACCCACACACAGACACAGCAGTAGTTGGTTGGCACCACAGGGTAACTGGGCGAAGGAGCTGGCAGTGTGTAACCATGGAGGCGGCCGACCCGACAGAGGCGGGGACCGAGAGTGAGACCGAAATGGCGGCTGACCTGCCAAGGGCAGTAACCGAATAGAGTGATTCGGGAGAGTAGAGAGAATGCTGCCAGCTACTGAGAGTTCAGTGCCCAATCCCTGCTTGTTTTTGTTTAGCAGAGTGAGTTTGGAAGACAAATGAGGTTAGTAGTATAAGCGGGGTGCTACAGAATGAGAATTGTAACACAATGAAGTCGGTGTGGGTGGGTGGGTGAAAACACGGAGCAAGAGTCATGCGAGCCAATGCAACTAACAAAGAGAGCCAGGCACGAAGGCTGCTGAAGGGTGTACGTATGCAAAGCGAGCTGCTGGGAGAGTTTGCGCATGCGCACAACGGCGCATCCGTGAGCTGGCGCGAACACGCGCGTGATAGACATCAGCATACAGTGAAAACATTACGTCACCGCGTTAACATACTTTAGCTACGCAAAACTTGCAGTAATGCAATGAATATAACTAAATGCGCACTCATATCACAACCATGGGGACGAATAATGTATTCCAGAACGTTTTCTCGTCACAATTATCAATCGAATTCGTGACTAAAGAGAATGATGAAACTACAATAGGATTTATACACTTGGAGTGAAGCAACGAGGATACAAGAATAGTAAGAAAAATAGCACAAACTTGGGAATTTTTTTGCACAGGCAATAAAAACTATACAGGTGAGAAACACACACACTTGCACATGCATGTCCATTGTCACACTGCACTTGCTGAATTTACTATCATTTCTCACCTGTATAGTTTTTATTACCTGTGCAAAAAATTTCCCAAGTTTGTGCTATTTTTCTTACTATTCTTGTATCCTCGTTGCTTCACTCCAAGTGTATAAATCCTATTGTAGTTTCATCATTCTCTTTAGTCACGAATTCCATTGATAATTGTGACAAGAAAACGTTCTGGAATACATTATTTGTCCCCATGGTTGTGATATGAGTGCGCATTTAGTTATATTCATTGCATTATTAAGGTTATTGTCTCCACGTCGCATTTTTGGTGTATTTTTATTTTCGGTACTTTCGGTGCATCTGTTTCATACCTAAATTTACTGGCTAAAATTTCCATTAACCGAACAAACACTAACACACATAATCGAATAGGAAACTGCTTCTCTGAACCTAAAAATTCTGTTCCCCTAACCTGGCCTTTTGCCCTCATACCGAAAATATTGAGCACCTAAAATTTCTGAAATTAGAGTATTCTCTCCCGCCGGGCTATATAAACAAGAATGACTGTGCAGTACCTTGAAAGCCGTCCAGTCCGCATTGTTAGTCATGAGGACGAGTGACACATGCTTCTTGACTACAGTCGCAACCTATTCACAGGATAGCACACATACGCACACACGCACGCACGCGCGCGCGCGCACACACACACACACACAACAACAAACGGGCAGTTGAGTCAAACTGGCAGACATGTGACTAGTTACAACAAACAGCAAACTTCAACAGGTGGATGTGTAAGTCATACACCACATTCGGATAGGCAGGCGGACAACAGCCGCTGGTCGCTTGTACGTCTTCTACATATAGAGCACGATGAAGTGAAAGCCTGCCCGAAAAATCTTCAGACGTGCAGTTTCTGGACAATTGCAAGCAATGTGGTCCACGTCTGAGGAAGTAGTCCCTGAAATATCCACAACTGAATGAGTTCCCGAATAAATTGGGAACGAAAGCTGATAGCACCACATGCTGCAGTCAGAGATGGAGAAGACTGAAAAAAAGGTGCATGTGCATACATGAATGCTTCAGCATTTCTAGTCGCCTGGGCATAGAACTAACTACATGCGGACATTCGAATTTGCATCATACCAGTTTCGTGATTATATGGCCCAGTATCTGCGAAAATGGACCTTAGGGTGATTTTTCACAAAATGACTTTTTTCTGCTGTTGTCATCTATAGGTATCTAGTGATCACATGGAAAAGTATTAGACCAAACAAAGCAATATTGATGACCCAGAAGCTACTCAAACAAGCATAGGTACATATCAGGAAATACAACAATTTATCACAGTGTTTTCCACATCGGAATACTATGTGTTACAGTGAAATAAATAAAAATAGACAGTGTAATAAATCATCCATCCAGTTTTTGTTGTAAAACAACTCTTGCGAGTCTTGGGCAACCTCTGGCATAGAGCATGGATGGCCTTGATCCTCATATCTGCATACCAATGAAAACTGTTTGAACGCCATCCCAAGTCTCTGCTGAAAATCCACAGAAGTGCAGAACAGGAGGGAGGGTGGCTACAACTACACCTGGATTCCCAGTCTGTGCATCCCACAGGGAATACGACACAGGCACAACATTCTAACACCCTACACTTCATCTCATACACGATTTAGAGGTAGTCCATCACTGCTGCACCTCTGTGAAATTTGAGCTCTGTGGGAACTGGCTGCATGCGCGTCAGTGCGCCATGATTCCAGCACTGAGCGCAGAGAGTTCGTAGCTCATCAATCAATGTTCAGCTCTTGGCGTCTTGCCCCGTCCAAGGGGTTTGGTGTTCACCACGGAGTCCAGCGTGGGAGCCTGGGAAATTTCAGATCATGTCACTAGCGGCAGCGCTCTTTCGTCCTGACTCGAGTTGATCCAGGACATTTCAGTTCGTCTACCTCTGTTGCCGTCGCCTCACTAGTTTCTCCTCGTTGAGTATTTCTCCTGAGCAGAGCTGTTCTAAATTCAGAAGGGCCCTACAAGGGTTTTCAGATGTCAGAAAGTACTTTTGCCAGCAGAGAGCTCCTTTGGCGGTGCGCCTAAATCAAGTTGAAATTCTGGTCGCTAAATAGGAATTGCGCGTCGACAAAAACATCTTCTGGAAACTGTCGTTGTTCTCTATCAGACGCGACGATTCCTGCCTAAGGAATCCAATGACTTCTGGCAGAGCCGGACGGCAGCTAGCTGGCTATCGTGAACGAACTCTCCTTCTACTAGGACGATCAAAAGCATTCATTGTTGCGATGAACTAATTTTTTGTTTGAATGTGCAGAGCGCGAAGCAAGAGTTTTTTGCCGTTGCAGAAAATGACTTATTCTGAAAAAAATGATTTTCACCCGAAGGTCGATTCTCGCTGATACTGGGCCATATTATGTTTCCACTGAAAATTGAAAAGCTAAGAGGGGACAAGTAAGGGTTTCTCGTGTAGATACATGTGCATTCACGGGGCCATTGTTTGGCCCTTATGTCAGAGGTTTCTGCTTAGTCTCCTACCTTGTCCACATCCACTGTTAACGCTCCCATTTCTCTCCAGGTTTTGTTGAAGACCTGCATGGCCAATGAGAATACGTCCTCAAAGCAGGATCTCGTCGAGAAGAAAATCTTTAAGAAATGCGAGTCGGGTCCCGGAGCTGAAAAAGAGAAAAGAGAGAGTTGGAAACAAGCACAGTGATCAGACATGGGCCATCATGTTCATATCCATGAATGTTTTGAAGAGATGGTGGCAAGTTAACGAAGGTCATTACCAGTATTAGGGAGGTTTCGCTCTACGTAATTACGTGTGAAAATCCGTATGTCGTACGCGCCGGGGAGCAAGGGCAACTTTCATACGTAAATCTCTCTACGGATTTCCGTAGGAAAGCTCTTTCCTACGTTGGGTCCTCCGTAGAACTTTTGAAATATTTTTTTCGCATTTTTCAGGATTTATCCATGGCAAAGTGCAAGCCGCGCGAAACACAAGGTACACACAAATAGGATGGAAAACGCGGTTTCGGTTCGTGGTGCATGCTGTGGGCGCATGCAGCCAAAGCGTCTCCAAAGCAACAACGCATGTTTAGCAGTCGTGGAGAAATCACGTAGAGCGAAACCCAACAGCTCTGATTTTTACGTATGAAAATTACGTGCAGTTCCTACGTTATTTTCATACGTAATTCCGTAGAGCGAAACCTCTCTATTATCTAAAACAACCATCTTTTTTTAACATAGCAAAGTGGAAAGCCACTTCAGGAGCTAGTCAACTACAAGTGTGAGCTAAATAGAACCGAACTACTAGCCACGGTGGCAAGAACTACAGACATTACTAAGACGGCGTCAGTGCTTTTATATCAATGTTTGGGGTTGTACCAAGAGTCCATAACCCCCAGAGTGTGCAACGCCACATAAATGTCTGTCACGACTCGTTTTCAACATTACGTCATTTTCATGTAGCTGCGCGTGCAGGCCGCGACATTCGCTACATGAAAATGACGTAATGTTGAAAACGAGTCGTGACAAGACCCTATCGCGCGTTGCACACTCTGGGGGTTATGGACTCTTGGTTGTACCGATACTGCTGGACATGTGCTTGATTAGGCATGTGCCAAAACCGGTTACATCTTGGTGACCCACATTTATTTTGGTCATATCGTATGTCCAGTTACACAGTGCTTTTAAAAGTGTGAGGATGTTGAAGGCCAAGCTGGATGAACAAGGCAAAAGCCAGTAATCACTCCTCAATAATGGGATGGGAGGGTATAGAAGATTCCCTCAATGGGTTGATCTCACATATTGAGCACACTTACATTTTCTCATTACGCCAAGGATGTCAGCAACTATCCTCACCACAGCAAAGCCACCTCGGACGAATGGGCACTGCTGACTAGAGGTACGCGACAAATTGCTCACAAAATGCTGTGGAGGCAGAAAGGCAAGAATAGTCCAGCGAGTATCCACCCGCCCATGCACGCATGCACACGCACACACACAGACACACATGCATGCACACACGCACATACAGCCGGAGAGCAGGCAATAAAGTCAAATGAGTACCAGAAGGGGCCACAAGCAAAAGTAGTTCAGACTTGATATGTGGAGAGCGGATCCTGAAAACGACACACAATTTTGAAAAGGAAGCACTCAGAAGGACCCCGCTTGTGCCAGCAGGCCCAGCACTATAAAAACAAAATCACCAAGTCTACAAAGTCATGAACAGGGTTATTTTGAGTACTGTATTTTACCGGCTAGAAGTCAACCCCATACTTGGGAACTCGATTTCCCGGTTGAATGAAAGTCGACTACGTTTTAGTTGGTTTTAGGTCATGAAAGGTCGACTTATAACTGGTCAAATACGGTACAATTCAGTTTGACTACAAGTACAGGGTTGCCGTGAAAATAGCAAAGCTATTAGGCCAAGTAAAAAAATAGATTGTTTATCGTCCGCGCCCGCCCCAAATTTTCACCCTCCCGGCCGATTTATTTTATTTATTAGTACTGGTAAATGTACTGTATGTACTGCGGTCTACAGCCTCTGATCAGCATGGCCGTAGATTTTCGAAGGTCAAGTCCACAGACTGAACCAAAACTTAGTTGCTATGGGCTTGAAAAGTGAAACTGATCATCAGCTGCCTGATTTTCTTCGTTTTTCTACGTAACGTTGATTGTTGCACTTTTCATTATTAGAATCCTCAAAATTGTCTTGCAAGACGTTAATTATATTATTCATGGCTGACGATTCATCTGCATCACATGGATTTATCTCACTCTGCGCCAAAATGGCTTCAAAAAGAAAAGCGAAGAAAAAGGCATGTCTGGGGTTGCGAACACCTTCCCTATAGCTGTACAGCCATATATGCATAATAAAAAATAAATTAAAAACCTCCCGTCCGCCCCGATTTCTCGGGAAAATCTGACGATAACCAATCAATATAATATTATTTTACATGGTCTTACAGAGCGGGATAAGCAAGGGTGGGGTGGCAACAGGTTCAGGATATGCTAAGGATAGTTCGCTTACCTGATCGCACTCCTCTGACCAATTCATTGTAAAATGTGACAGGCATTCCAATGCCAATAAGCCACCAGGCACCTCCTGGAACTCGTCGGATGGTTCGCTTTTCTGCAGTGGGAACACCGCACATCAGAAAATCATGCAATGAGGTAACCTCCATTCTCATTTCCAGTGCCCCGGACTAAACGCTACATATGTAGTTACTGCCCAGGAACTAGTATAGGTCACAGCTATTGGCATAAGCAAGATGGTATAAGTTACATTACTCAATCTGCACACAGCTAGCTACACTATGTAACATACTAAGCAGGTGCTGAGCAGCTCATAGGCATACGTGACTGTAGTCGCTTTTGTGCAAGGAGACAGAGGTATACTAACACGGCCCTAGATGATTGCACACTGGCACTTTGACACTACACTTTTAAATGGGCAAGGGATTAAAATTCCTTATCCAGCGTATAACGGACTGAACTCATCCCTAAGCACCCGGGAACTGTCCAATGCTCAGAACGATGTCATCACGCAAGCTCCACCATGATAGCATGTATACCAGTACACATTGCAAGCCAGCAGAGTCAGCTCTCACCATTAATCCCATCCGACTCGTGTCGACATCCGGGAACTCGACTGATACTGCTGATGGCGACGACAGTGAGCTGATACCAACCGGTCGAATGCGTCCCATCGATGCTTGGCAGGCCATCATGAAGCTGAGGAGGAGCGACTGATGAGACTGCATGCACAGCCGAGGAGAGAAAACTCTTCAGTGACAGCAATGAAGAGACAAAGCAGTGGTACATGCCCACAAAAAGCACCCTGTTGTTGAAAGCAATGGACGTGATTTCTCTCTTGGATACAGCTTTCCACAGTGTGCATTAAAATGACATGTACTCCGGTGAAAAACATGTTCAGGGTGTGCAGACTCTACTGCAGCTAATTCATGTGCAAATCATTTTTGGACGTACAAGCAATCAAACCATGAACTGCTTACCTTGTCTTCACGGTCATACGGGCTATGCAGCTTCTTGCCCACTAGAGATAAGTAGAGTGTTTGGAAAGTGGTGAGCTGGAAAGCTAGCTCATCCGTTATTCCCGTTTTAGTAATGATATTCTGTCCAAAGGAAACACACATGGAAAACCATAAGGTTGTCGTCAGCTTTTCGAGGAGCATCTTAATGGAGATTTGTAGACGTGTCTTTTAAAATATAACGGCTGTTGTCAATCCTGCCATTTTCAATGAAGCTGATATGCACACGACAATAATTAATTCTGCTTCGATCGGCCAAATAAAAATGGGCTTCCTTCACGGGATGCCATCATCAATTCTGCCGTTGATACACAGAGAAAGTACTTCCGTGGGACTATTCCAAGGCAAATGCTGCTGCTTATCCCCTTTAAACTTGATCTATTCCAAGCCCTTCAGAACTAACCCATTCTACCTTCGAAGAGGCAAAGAACTTAGTAGTAAGCCACCTCTTCCCAAGCAAAACTCCAAAGTCACAAAAGGACAAACTAAATGCTCACTGAGAAAATATGGAAGGATGGTGACCAGCATCTGAGTGCACAACCAAGCCAAAACGGCTGCTCTGAACTCAATAGAACTATGGCTACAGAGGTGGGGTACGTCGGTGCGGTAACTGGTAATCAACAACATTACGCAAATTACTCTGAAGGTATGGCTGTATGTTAGCATCAATGGCCGAGCTACATACGCAAGGCTGTGAGTACAGAAGGGGAAAATTAGGTGTACTTTCATGGAATACTTTTAAAGGGCCATGACTTCACTTCAATACTAGGCTGAGCAATCAGCATGCTACCACGCCCGTGTCACAAAGCACTCTACCTTGTAAATAAGCTCAGGCATATATTTCTTGTGTACTTCCTGCAACAGCTCAAACCGTTTCGTCAGTTCGCTTTTGGAAAGGAGAGTGTTGAGAAACCTAAGGGCGGCAACTTTCGTGTCAATCGATGCTGGGTGGCTGTGCAGAGAAAAGGCAGAAAGAAATGAGAATCGGCGTGGGGACATGATCACAGCATACACCCGACAGGAGAAACACTTTCAAAAATGGGACAAAGTTTGGCGAACGCTGGTACTTTCAAACTTTCAGGGAGAACACAATGCGAAACTGTGGCTCGAGCAGTAAAGATTGCAATCGTCTGAAATGAAAAGTTTGCGATCCAACCCCGACTCGCGAAATTCTGTGCAAGTTTCCCTGTACAAAGCTCAAGAGCTCGTTTCATGCACATTCTGGCTGACAATCACACTGACAAACTACCTGCACATGCTACCAGAATAAGTACTGCCATGAGCTTGAACAAGGTGACTTGATTCAAGGTGACGTGCTTCAAGACGTTGGATTTTAGTGCCCAGACATTGTCACCTGGAAAAGCCCCAAGCGTCATCATCCCTGGCCTCCCCAAGCACATAGAAGTTCTCAAATCAGTCACTATAAGGACAATACCTTCCAAAAACTGCAGTGATGCCCTTGATTGAGACGTTCATCAGCACTGCCTCGAGGAATAATGGGCTGTGTGCACAAACAGACAACCGGGCAAGCAGCGGAACATGCTAAGATTAGTAGCACTGCATACTGGTTATGATGGGGGCCACCAGGAAACGTGGAAATACATCAAAGTAGAATGCAAAAGAAGGTTTCAGTGACTGTTGGGCAGGAACAATCTTTGACCATATCTTAGGTCAATCTTAGACCAATCTGAGACCTTTGCTGGAACGAATAAAGAGTCATACACCAATATTGATTCAGCCTCCTTTCATCATCGGACGAAGAAAGGAGGTAAGTGATCAAAATCCATATCAGTCTATTTTGGTTCCAGCAAAATTTTAAGATTGCTTCAGGTTTGCTTGCCCGGCTCCTTATATGGAGAGGCTGCAATCCTTAATCGAGAGCAATTCACCATATCGGTCACAAGATGCCCCTTTGAAGGCACCCAGGAAGGCTATATGCCAACAAATCATGACAAGAGGGTTACATACAAGTCGATTGATATGACACCCAAATTCTAATCCTGCAAGTAGAATATTTCTCCATAACATTAGGAGCAACAAGCACAAGAAGTGGAGCTATCCGTGCAGCGGGACAGCATTATGGGGGTTCAGTCAAGCAATACAAGGGGCATCATCTACCTAGGCAGAGCCATACGCATGCACACTCTTTCTTCTCATGGACTACAACATGTGACTTCAGCTTGACTTGTGTTGGAAAAAGAAGAACTTACCTGGCATTCCGTATCCCCGACGTAAGGAAAGTAAACGCAGCCTCGCTACAATACGGAGATGCATTCGCAAATCTTAAAAGCTGGAGATTGACACACAGGAAAAGCAGTGCCGGCATCAAGACAACATCACATCATTATGCCGTAATTTACTACTACATGTACTACCAAGAGTACATACCCCCCCCCCCCCCCCCCCCCCAGAGTGTGCAACTCCACTATGGGTGCTGTCCCGACAGAATTTCAAGTTGACGTCACTTTGATGATGCAATGCGCACTGTACACGGATTATCAGACGAATCCGGAACCTGTGGTTGACCGAAGCCGATTGATCCTGTACAAATTATTGCAAAGAAAAACGTGTGATGCGTTGACACCCGTACACATGTTGTAAATCATTGGTGCAAGGAGCATTGCGTCATAAATAATGACGTCAACTTGAAATTCTGTCGGGACAGCAGGGTATGTGGGAGTTGCACACTCTGGGGGGGGGGGGGGGGGGGGGTATGTACTCTTGGTACTACATCACCGCCAGAGTGTCCCACCTTGATTTACTGCCAGGGAAACTGCATGGCTGAGTGCAACGCAGGTCATACGGTGTAAGAACTTGGGTGTTCTTGGGTCACACAGGGCCCTATATAGCGCACAATTATTGTGCAGAACTCTCTGCCGTTCACAGATTGACTGTACAGTATGCAGTGTCGGTACAATTCACGTGTAGCATGAACTGCGGTCAGAATTCGCTCATCCACCCCACCTCCAAAACACGACAGGGAAGTCCAGATATGCGCACGACTGGAAACACTACAGTGCATTTGCCTTTAATTTGTTTTCAAGGTGCGATGCTCCCGCTTTTGGAACTGGTAGTCAAAGAAAAGCTGTGCTGTAGAAGGACGACCCACCCTATCAATGCTAGCCTGCACTTTGCAGTGAACAGACATGCCCAATGGTGCATGCTGCGACTCACAGACAAAACAAAGTCACGGTTCACGTGAGACTCGGCTGCAGGCTGAGTTTTCCGCATCCGCAGGAACGCCACCACCCTCTGGGATCAAGGCGCGGATGCAGCCAAACACAGGCAACAGACCCAGACAAACTTACCAAAATAATAAACGGTTCTGATGCTACTTCCCATAACCGGTTCGTTTCAAGCAGTTTTCGTGCGAAGGCAATTGGTCCAGCAAGGCTATCTTCCAATCTGCAAATTCAAGAACACACAAAAAGACCACTGAACTCTTTCCACCCACACTATGCTCTGCAGGAAGTGAGTTCGCACTTCAAGCCGTGTGACAAGTAGTCGTTGGATGATAAAGAAATTTATCTTCTACAGGCACATGCACTCCAGTTATGAAACCACCTGACATAGCGAGCAAATTCACAGGTTGTCTTCAGCAGGGCAGTAACAAAAGGGACAAGTCGTAAATACCAGATATATCTTTTCGCCATGCAAGTAAGAGCGGCGGCTATATACCAGAATGGGGTCAACTAGAATATTGCTACTTTTAATATAGTACGAAGTAGTGGTTGCGACTTCGGCGATGATTTGTAAGAAAGGGTTTGCTCCCCACACCGGAGCTCGCGCGATTCCGCCGACTTTACTTGACACTTGACCGACTCAAGACTGCCATCCAGAGCAAATCACCGCCGAAGTCGCAACCACTACTTCGTACTGTTGTGCCCAGCGCGGGCTTGCGACTAGTTGGTTTGGAGGTGACAGCGTTGCGAATGACCGAGGGTCCTCGACGTCTGTCTCACCGTCCAGGAGCGACACTGACTCGCGCTGCTATCTGGTGTTCACGAGGTGTTTGTCGCGCTGGAAACGGAGCGTCTCTGTAAGTTTGTGCCTGGAGAGCACTATATATGTGGTGCTCTTCAGGCACAATCTTCCTCAGCCTACTCAAGCTCAACTGATGAGGGGTGAATTCCCCGAAACACTGTGTATTGAGCAGGGAGCGGTGCTTTCTTGCAGGTTTGCCAAGTCGAAGGTTCGATGGACTTCTCGTGTGCTCTGGATGGCAGTCGTGAGTCAGTCAAGTGTCAAGTAAAGTCGGCGGAATAGCGCGAGCTCCGGTGTGGGGAGCAAACCCTTTCTTTTTAAAAAAGTGCTAAGCCAAACGACACAACATACATGTAACAATAATATATAGCTGGTCACTGAAATCATGGTGAGCAAGTGCATGACTTACTTCTCATGGTATGTCAATATCTGTGTAACTAGAATCTTGAGACCGCTCTTTGAGACAAACTCTTGAACCCGCTCCTCCTCCTGTGCATGTACACACCCACCCACCCACACCCACCCACACACGCACGCACGCACGCGCGCACACACACACACACACACACACACACACACACACAGTGCGATACAGTTGGAGGTGACCTAAAGAATATCATCCTTTATGTGCGAGATTGGTTTGTTGGTTCTCTTCATGTTATTGTGACATATTAGGTGTTGGGCGCCTCACTGCTTTCTCTCCCCTCTCCTAAGCCATTCAGCAAAGGCTGTGGACGCAGCATACTGCTTATAATAATGTGTGAGATTGTTCAATGCGTCTTTTTCATGGCTGAAAGCAGGGTGGTGGGGGTGGTGGTGGTGGTGGTGGTAGAGGTGGCATCATTGTTTTCCACAATGGAGTTCCATACAAATGACTCTTGGATCTTATCTTACACACACATCGCAAAACACGTCACTAATACGAAGCATCACACATGATCCACACATCTCCGCCTGTAATTCTGAGAGATGGCAGGGAAGGTAACCGTGGAAACAAATCAAGGAGGGTCGGCTCCTCAGGACTTCTTACCGCTATTGTCTGAGGTAGCGTGCTCAGAGTCCTGGCCATTTCCTGCGGGTCCCTTGATAAAAGTGCATTGCATATGTCGGTGACTGTGCGTTTCTGCAAAGACAAGTCACAGCAACGGCATTATCACTTCATAGAGTAAGTAACGAGTCTCCAGCACAGTTCTAACTCAGTCCTCAGTCTCTCCCTATCTACATCGCAAGTAGGAGCAGGCCATGGCAGAACAGTGTTCTTCAATGGAATGCTGTTAAGCGACTATCACCGTAGACTCACAGGCAGTTCAGCGACGCGCAGAAGTGCTCCATTCTTCAACTGATGGCGGGTCTAGGGAGAACAGCATCAAACAAGTATGCAGCGTTTGTTGAGTAAGAATGCAAGACACACAAGCAGAATGGCTCGATGAGGAGCTTGCAATTAGTGTAGGAAGAAACACAAAAGGACTATGTCCCGCAACATTTGGTGGTGGTTGCCTGTGGCTGGTGATGCGAGCAATTCACGTGCAACCTGTTCTGGAAACTTGATAAACTCATCTTGCACAGTTCAAAGCATGTGCTCCAGCCTTGGAAGTTACAGGCAGTGCTGTGGTACAATCCAATGTGCAGCACCTACACGTATGATCTACCCACATATCACCCAGGCTGAGCTACAAGATCGCATCTACATGTACACGTATGTAAGCCTTGACCTCAACCCCAGCTACAGCTTCAGCCTTGGCTTCAGTTCACACCATTAGCTACATCACGTCAAGAGTACATGCACACCGGTGCTTATCACGGGTATAAATCATAGCTGATGCAGAGAAGTGGTGTGAAGTAAAGTAGTGCATAGAATTTTGAATTGTGCAGCCGGAGGCTTGCTTGAGTCCTGCTTGTACCCACTGCATCACTGAAATGATGGAATTCAAGAATTTTGTTGTGACAACGATCCATTCAAGCTACACACTTTGGTCTTCATGTGCTCTTGACATGCTTCTCGGCATTGAACACAGTCAGGTACACGTGTCACTGGAAGTGATGAACGGAGCTGGGCAATCCATGGCATGCAAGACTCTGCTGGGGTAGATGTGCATTGAGCCAGCAGCAGGACTTGAGCGTGCAAGCTCACCAGTCACACTTCATCTACAAGCAGTTCCGGCTTTGGCAATAAGCAAGCAGCTGACAAGATTGGGCTTCGTTCCAAGTTCAGGCTGCAACTGCACCGTAACATCACATGGTTCTGCTCTGTTGGGTAGTGTGTCCACATAGCAGCAGCTGTTCATGCCGTATACAGTAGTAAATATCTGCACCATGACCCCATGCTATCCACAGCTCATATCATAGCGATAGCGACATACAGGACTGAGGTCTCAGTTCACAGGGTCAGAACTCAGATGGTTCAGGGTTCTCAAGGAGATTTCCTTTGCAGATATAACATAGCACTGGCCTCATATTGTTCAAACCCTGACCTCTAATGCTCATTGCACTGCACTCTCCTTGTTAATTGAATCTGTATCTGCCTGTGAATACTCACAAAGCTAGCTACTGTTGACAAGCCAGGACAATGCAGTGTGTTGGCGTGTGTTGGCGTGTGTTGGTGTGTGTGTGTATGTATGTGTGTGTGTGTGTGTGTGTGTGTGTGTGTGTGTGTGTGTGTGCGCGCGCGAGCGTGTCATGCGATGTGTGCGGTCGATATTGGGTATCACACGCCATCGTTGCTGGGATGACCACATATCAAACAACCAGCTGCTTGAGTGGTGGGGTGACTCTGAAACCATCGTCACAAAGGTTCAGCATCGGCGCCTCGAGTGGCTAGGCCATGTCGCCCGCATGGATGACGTGCGATTGCCCAAACAGTTGCTGTTCGGCACCCTGCCATCTCGTCGCCCGGCACATGGCCCACGCCGGCGGTGGAAAGACTGCGCTGTAAAGGACCTCCGCTCACGAGACCTTGAAGCGGACTGGTACAGAGTGGCCTGTGACTCTCGCCCAGACTGGAGGTTGGCTTACACCTCGGACGCCCCGGATCCCCTCGTACCGGCACCGGTGACTTGTTTCACATGCGCCCGGCACTTCGCACGTCAGGGTGACCGCGCTAGGCACAAGTGCACGGCTGAACAGCAGAAGCCGGTTTCGGAGCAGAGAGGTGCATGTCAGTGCCCTCGGTGTCATCGTTGGTTCCGGAGCCGCGGAGGCTTGGCTGTGAATCGTTGCTCCGCTTCTACATCGTGCCCAGTACCGACCGAACCAGCTGCTGTTGTCACCGGTGACACTACCGCTCGGAGGTGCTGCAATGCTCACTGTGGCACCTGCAATCGTTGTTTCCGCTCAACCCAGGGACGCAACCGCCATCGCTGTTCAACACACTGCCACCGACCAACGGCCAGAGAACGGGACAAGTTCCCGCATATGTGTATCTGCTCTCGCCGGTTCCGACTAGTCTCGCATCTGGAGCGCCATCGGGTGGCGTGCTCTTTCTCTCTCTGCTGCCCCTCCGGGGCCCACGTGACCCTAGTGGTAGTGGCTCTACAGGACAGGACAGGACAGGTGCGAGCGTGTGTGTGTGTGTGCGAGCATGTGTGTGTGTGCATATGAATGTGTGTGTGTGTGTGCAGGTATGTGTGTGTACATGCATGTATGTGCATGCCTGCATGTGTGCATATGTGCATGTGTGTGTGCAGGTATGTGTGTACATGCATGTATGTGCATGCCTGCATGTGTGCATATGTGCATGTGTGTGTGTGTGTGCCACTTCATAGCTGTGTGGTGTAGACCAGGCTGAATAGTGGCAGTCAATTCTTCAGCCTTGCAAGCTGCTGAATGGTGCAATCCCAGCACAAGCTGCTATGGCTCCTGATGTGGCATCGCTATCACCGCCTCTGGCGATGGGCGTCAAATGGTATGTGATGTGTGTGTGTGTGGGGGGGGGGGGGGGGTGTTGGAGTGTGTTTGTGCATGTCGGTGTTTGTGTGGTTGGTATGAGTGAACATGCATGTGTGCATGTGTTGTACAGGGCACACGGGTGTATGTATGTGGGTGATAACTCCTGGCTGTGCACATGCCATTGCAAGTGAATACCATGAAGTGGCAGGAGAGCACCCCTCCATCTGTATCACTTCCAGGTCATAGTTTAGAGGTAGTCAGTTGAGCCAGTCCTGACTGTAGGTCGCACAGCACATTCATTATACACACAGTGGAGTGTGCTACAGTCCAGCTCTACTCATTTCACTTCCGAACGGTAGCGATCTCCGCGCAACAGTGAGCTGGTGTAAAGCTATAGCCTTGTTACACTTCAGTTCATCGTACATGCTCTACCACCTCAGTCTCACTGGGCCCCGTCCCTGGCTATGAATCAGGGAGGCGCTCTCGCTGGACTTCACGGTGCGATGTGCACATGATACGAAACAGTGTTAACACTAGTGTGGTGTCCCTAGCCATGGTCTGATGAACTACGATATTGCAAAACAGTTGATGGTGTGCATGTGTAAAAGCTGAGCCACATGTGTATGGTAATTCAAAAGAGTGCTGTACTAACATCACACCATCAATAATACATGAATGTACCTTTTCAGTGATGAATTCCTTGGTATCACTATGTTGAAGGCAATACTTGTCCGGATTTGCCAGGGACCATCTTCAGAAGATAAGAATGAACATTTCACGCATGATGTTGTCAGATAATCCTTTCAAACTGAAAGCACCAATTACGATAAAGTTGTCAACTCACTTTGAGCAAACATCTCGTACAATGTTCAGCAGTGGTTGTTTCTGTATGGGAAAAGAGAGTTGGGTTCAGTGATTAGGGGCTCGAATATTTATTCCACATTCATGCAGTGTTGACTGACTTGATCGAGTTCATATAGCAGCGGTTGTTGGCCTTCAGTTTGCACAGCAACCTTCAATATACCAGATCCCGGTGGACCAGATGAAGGATGCGGTTTGGGAGCGTTGATGGATGAACGGCGTAGTGAATTCATGTCACCAGCCTTTCCATCATTCGCGGGCGAAACACTAAAAATCCACTCAATAGACTCGCGGACTATGTATCAAACTCAACTACTCAAAGAAAAAAGAAACAATGTCACAGGCAGTAAAGTGCACTTTCTATTTCCGAAATCATCTCGTATCGAAGAAGAAGATTCTGTCAAACGCAAAGATCGAGTTGAATACTTGCACTTGCAGGCTGTGTCATGTAGCCAAGCCAGACACTGGGTCAGGCTCGCCTGCCAGATCTGCAGAGCTGCACTCAGCTCGAGTCGCATTCTGTCGTAGCCGCATGTATGCCAAAAACGAGTATCGCGTAGAGCTAGCTAGCTACGGGACTTGCATAGCAGCAGCAAAGAATCTACGTAGCTACGGATCGTGATCCGTGTTTGATCTGCTCCCGATCCCGCGCACACCATGGTACGAGTCGTACCAGATATACAACACTCGATCAGGCCAAAACGTAGATCTACCTAGAGTAGTAAAATATCAGTTTGCATATGGGCACAGTGTATTTTTACTACTGTCTGCTCGCTCACTGATAGCGCGTCTGTACACCGCTAGCGCGCGCTAGCGCTGACGTCGTGACCATGGTGACGGGAGCTAGCGTGTGTTTATGCGGCTACATGATGTAGCTAGCTAGGGATCACGGTCAATCACGGGGTTCACGGCGTCGCGGGCGCGGCGATCTTGGCTCTCTGGCCGCTTTGTCATGGATACCTGGACTATCAGGCCATGCGTGCGTCCGCGCGTGCTGAAATTTCATGGAAGAAATATCGTAAAACGAACGCCAAGAAGTGCACTTTGAAGAAGGTTGTTTGACCATTGTGTGCCATGCAGAAAGCTGTTTGTTGAAGTTTTTCCCCCTCAGCTCTGGAAATTGTGCGGAGTTCAGCCAACCTGATATGGTACGAGCACTCTAAGCTCTCGATTTGCGCTTTTAGGTCAGCTTCAACCCTTTTCCGATTGGTGTATTTTTGTATTTCTCAGGCTGCTCTGCCACTTATCAACCCCAAACCCTTTTTGAATGGCCTCACTGGAAAGCCTGTGATGGTCAAGTTAAAATGGGGCATGGAGTACAAGGGATACTTAGTTGCCGTCGATACGTACATGAATTTGCAGGTGAGTGCTGATTACGAGTATTCTAGAAGCCATTTGCACGTTCCATAATTTTTTTAATTTTCGAGTGGCGTAGAAATCCGGAACTGGACATTTTCGTGCATAGCATGGCATTAGCTCCTTCAGTTGAGTCTATGGTGTACCCAAGTCTATAGTATATTATAATTATAGTTATATCACTGCGAAACTGGTGTGGCCTTGTGTCGACATCAATGAATTAATTATTTCTGTGCACATCAATCAGTGATAAATGTAATGAGGTAATGTTACATGTACTGACACCATACACACTTGTTTAGCAACACACTGAAGGTTTCGTCAGTCGAATTCCTGTCTCTTAATCCAATGTTTAGTGTGTGGCAAGAAATGCAGAACTGTCGTCGTTGGAGCATGAGCCCATCCAGCCCTATCTGTGCGAGTGAAAAAGTTAAAGTTGTAGATCTTCAATGCTGTTGGATATTATCATCATGTACTCTTGCTTGCAGCTGGCTAACACCGAGGAGTACATTGACGGTGCGATCCAAGGAAATCTCGGAGAGGTTTTAATCAGGTATGCTCCATTGCAGGGCCTGCTTTTTTTGCACGTGGCAGTTTGTGCTTCAGTGAGTGCGTTCGATTATGCCCACGAATCGATGTTGAATCCATTCATGAATCGCCCCTGGCCATTCATGCCGCCCCATGTGAATAGGGTGAATGGATTCCAAACCGATTCCGGGGCTCGTGACCTGAACCCAAACGACGAGATTCCGCCCATGAATCAATTCATGGCAGTAATCGAACGCACCCACCGGGTGCATGTACATGTATGTCAAACATTCCACTATGCTCCGAACCGGTGTCTCCATGTTTATAGATCAATGCTTTGATTAACCCTTTACTTGAGGTATCACGGATTTGTCCGTCATGACTGCAGTGTGTGAGCCGAATTGAGCAATCGAAAGGTCTACTTACATCAGGGAGTAGTAAAGTGCCCGAAGATAACATGAGCATACGCAACCAGTTTGACGATTGCCGCAGGACCGTTTTCAATTTTTTCACCCAGTGGGTGAGATTAGGGTAAGATAGTTACGAAGGCATGCAGATGCGAGTTGTGCGCTCCACATCAGGATACATGTACTTTTGAACCGGGAGTAATGTTACGTGTAGTAAAAATGTAAAGTACCTACCGGTACATACCGTATCTCCGCGCATATAAAGAAAGCCATGGCGTTATAGGTGAAACATCGCTGTTTTGGACCAAATGTTTGGAGAAAATAGCCTTGGTTTTAACGTCGTGGCGCTAAAAGTGAGAGACGCGTACATGGAAAAAAATCGGCACAGTATGAACTTCGAGTACTCGTACGGTGCCGTTGCACGTTCATGTCGAGCATCCATGTACTTTCAATTTTCCCTGAAAATTTCAAATTGTGAACCTATTGTGTACAAGGTGGCATGCAAACTTGTGTGAAGGTGCGGTGGCGGTATGGCATGTGACAGTGGGGATGGGTACATGCAGAAAGAATCACCCCTACTGTAGGTTCACTGAAAGAATTGAACTCACCTTTAACGCCAGATGCAACTTCCTCCACATTGAATTTTGTTCACTTATAACGCCATGGCTTTATAAGCGAGGGTGGCCTTATATTCGGATATAGCGCCATGGCTTTATATGCGCGGAAATATGGTACGCTCTTGCTCCAGCATGTAGAATTCCTGCTATGGTCTGCCTTTGATCATCGACCAACCTATACTATATATTTCGCAATCGATGTCCGGCAACAGTGGTATCACTTTGGGAGGTGTTCGTGTGGAATTTTTCTGTGTCGATACAAGCTATTTACGACGACGTGGCCGCATTTCATTCCTTGATGGACCTGAGAACAATTCATTTCAAGGAGTAAGGTGCCGAAACTTGAAGACGATCAGTTCACTTGCTTCCTCAACACCAACAAAAGTTGCTTACTCCAGCAAATCGCCGACGTTCTCCTTGGGCATTGAGTCAATTGAGACGACTGTCAACGGTTATTCCTTTCAGCACAACCCTGACGCTGATGTTTTTCTACCAATTGCCTGTGGAAGCTCTTGTGTGGATGGTGATGCCTTCTCACGTGCAGCAAAAGTTTCTAGATTGATTTGAAAGATCATCACTTTTGCAAGAGTTTTTTTCATGAGGCGCTAGGCGGGTATCAAAAATCTTGATCAGTGGTGTGTCATCTCCTGGTATTTTTAGTAATTTTTACTGCCCTTTGGTTCCCATTTAAAAGCTCTCAGCTGTCGGCTCGATCAAGTCCGAGGTCGAATAGTGGAGTTACGGCTCCCACGAGGTATTCTACGTTCTGCAGCAAATTTTCACTTCTGCTTGTAGTGTCACTCATGGGATTTCCCCCTGCTGCATGACAATTCAGGCATGCATAGACCAGTGTGCCGTCAGGCACAGATTTTAAGCTGTCAGCTACAGAACAGAGCAGCGCTCTACGGTGAACCCACAACAAATACCAGGGATTTTAGCAAATTGTCTCAAAGTCCTGTTTTGTCTGTCTTACCAGGACTGTTGCACATGTGTTGTTGCGCTCTAGCTTGTGAAACATGCGCTGATGTGTTCCATGAAGCCCAAGACTGTCAAAATCGATGAAGGGAAACAAAAGTTGTGATACGTAGTGCGTGCAGTCATTTGCGTGAAACAAATTAATGCTGGGAAAGAGTTTATCTGGGCCGACTGGCTTCATTCAGATTTCTTATAATTGTTCTGACCCCCAAATCAGTATCACCGGTCACTTTTTCTAGAGGTCCTCGGTGAAGGAACGGTAAAGCATCAGTGAGTTCTTGGACAGCCCGGAATTTATTGCATATTATTCATCGTACGAGAGGCCAGAGTTCCATCCGGCTATCAAGTTGATGCAGTTTATGTGGGTAGCAGAGATTGTGACTGTTGTATGTTTGAAATGCGTCTGTAGCTCTTCCTCATGCATTTGCCTTCCCTGCCTCTTGTGTTTTGTTTGATGTTCAGGTGTAACAATGTCCTGTACGTACGTGGAGTCGACGAGGAAGAAGAAGACGGTGAGACAAGAGAATGAAATCCATCGGGGAAAGTTAGTCGGGCTGGACTGTATGTCCAGCTACCTGCATCCGTCCAGGCAGCAGCCATCAAGTCAATCATGCAGTTTATCATGTGCATAGCAGTGATTATAATAACTGTACATTGTGACTACTTCTTTAGGTTTTCATGTGTTTACCTTGTAACGTTTTACGTACCTCCCGTTGCTTTTTTTTGGTTTGGCGCTCAGGTGTGATAACGTTAGCGTCCTATACAGACATACTGCAATTTCAAAATTCCGCTGTCTTTGAATCCATGAGAGAGTGTGTTATCAGAGCAAGACCAATGGTATACCGTTCAACAGCGCGTTTTGCTCTTTGTGTGCTTGGGGTTATGGGGATCGAGTGTACTTGCATAAGAGTAGCATAGGTGTGTCTACAGCAACACCTTCTCTATGTTTGGGAAAGTTGTCTCTGTGCAACCAAGTGGCTCTCCAATTAATTGCCAGCTGCTTTCGTATGTGAGCTCCCTAGACTACAGTAGAGTCGCATGCATCTATGACTTGGCACCGACCCCCTCTGTGTGTGGAGGCCATTCGGTATCAGCTTGTTTTGGCAGAGACAGGGATACTTGCATACTCGTCTTCACCATCATCAAGAGTACCGGTACACAACCCTCTGTACTCTTGCTGTCATACTCTTGAATAGCAACGAAATAATGGTTCGATATTTATCTTATTGAATCAGTAACGAATAATCAATATTATTATAATCGTTTCAGTACTACTCTTGTCTTGATACCACCAAGAGGCAAGAGGAAAAGCTTATGACTGTAGTCTTGATTCTACTTGTACCGTGTGGAGGGAGATCCCTGTGATAAAGTAAAAAAAAAAGATTCATAAAAATGAATGTCCAAAAACAAAAGTTATATAGTTGGCTTCTTTGTGCCCACGGATAAAAACACCTCCCAACCCAGACTTCACCTAGTATAAAAGTTATCACTCCATTAGAGAGTAGATAATATAATAGAAAATATGGGGATCTCTGCGAGTGGTACAGTGAAATAGACAACGGCACATACTGCACTGGTTTGTGCACTGCTACTTGTGGATGTCCTCATAACGAGAAGAGACCCAGTGAAGTAGTGGCCATATGTTAAAAAATTATCATGAAGTTTGTATGTAAGGCTATATGTAGAGTATAATGATTGTGAAGGTTTGTACTGTCATGATGGCAAGCCACCCCATGTGCGAGAGACAGAATAACTATCCTTCCAACTTGGGGTCAGCCAAGCGTGCCGGCCCTGCTATGGATGCAACTGGCGCTTCTGCTGCTCCTGTTGTTTGTAGTGGCGAAGCAGGCTTGTCGACATCTGGCTGAGGTGGTGTGTCTTCTTCGGTGTGGCAGTTCTGAAGCCGCGGCTGACTGTAGTCACGCGTGGATACTCTGCGCAGCCTGGATGTTTGGAAGTGTGTGATGGAGTACTGGTAAACACAAGCCATAACACACATAAACACATCAGTCAGGGAATCACAGCAAAACAGTTTGCTCTGCGGCCGGCACACATCCGCGAATAGAGGATCGCAGTGGTCATGCAATATGCTGGTAGCACTTCATGGCAGATTAGCAACTAGTGCTACCAGCACATTGCATGACAATTGTGATCGTCTATTCGCGGATTGCCGTATATGCCTACTATATGCCTACTATATGGCACTGTGAAGTACTACACTAGTGACCAACGAAGTGGGAACTTGCCCTCGGGCACAAAGCCGGGCTAACCTCAGAATAGTATTCGTGTGTAAAGAAATGCATGGAAAGTTGCTGCACTGAACAGTCTGAACCCAAGGAAGATCAAAAATTGTGGCGCTATACACTAGGAAAGCTCCGCAGTTCATTGAGCAGTAGTTTGTACAATGCTTTAATACCTGGTGCATGGATGCCGTTGATGGCCCACTCCTATCATTAGTGTTGGAGCGACGCAGTGATTCCCTCCTGCACAAAAAGAAGACAACAGAAAGAAACAATCACGAGCAAATCTTCATAAGGGCACACTTGTGTTAGCCAAGCAGCAGGACACACAGTCAACTCATGGCCTGGGACTTGTACTATTGCAACACACAGCCAGTTTGCTGGGAACGGTCCAACCCAGAGCTATCCATAGTGGAAACGTACACAAACATGAACACGCACAGGGCGAGAGGGAGCATGAAGGAGAAAAGGTCACACAGAGATCGAATTACTCCAAAGAAAAGAAAACACCAAAAGGCAAAGAAACAGACTCGTATTTTCCGGGGCCAGGGCTGCCAATATTGGGGTGCAAGCCATCCCTTCCCCTCTTTGGAGGCGGAGTAACATATTCCAGTTTGTATTTGTTTCTATGAGAATAAATGTTTAGGGTAACTTGTAAATCGGCCCTCTTTGGTGAAAAGATTGCAGCTCTGACCCCGGAAGATACTGTATGTTGAAAGCATGCACACATACAAAACACGCAACTTGTCTTGCCTGTTGAATTTCTTCACGTCTGACGAAAGTGAGGACAGTGTCCGCAGCTGTTCCATACTTCGGTCCTCTATAGCATTCAGCAATTCCTCCAGGCGACGGGAGCTGGCGGAACGAGGTGCAAGGCGAGGTGATGATGCTGACTTGGTAGATGTGAGTGAAGCGTTCGGACTGATGTGTAAGGTACGCCGGGCAGTCGTCTCATCTGCAGACACACCGGGTTGATCTTCATGCGAATTTGGATCAATTGGCGTACTGCTGCGCTGCGGACCAGGAAATATGTCCAACGGTTCTGCACTCTCGGAAATTCTTGACTCGGAGCTAACGTGACTTGCGTCTCCCTTGGTGGCAGTTTCAGTATTGGGCAAAGCTTGGTGAGAAGATGTCACGGGTGACTTCACGTTTAGGACATCACCACCAGTATAGACAGGAGCAGCAGGAACATGAGCAGAGGTGTTGTTGGCATCGCCACTAGCCTTCCCACGGCTGCTGTCTCCATTGTTGGTTTCAGCGACGCTGTTCACTGCATCTACACGGGAATGTAAGAACACAGTCCGACAGAATTCACTTATAAGACATACCCTTGCTTAGTATGGATATTGTCCGGAGCATGGGTGTATTGAACAATTGATCCATACTGAAGTATGTTAGGATAAGAAGTACATTGGATACTAAGTTCACTTTCCTGCTGCCCACGGGGTATATCTTATCATACTGTCGTTGACATGGAAACCCAGTCGATTGACCGGGACCGGCGCCCTCAGCGCGTACAGAACGACAGTTACGTTGTGCACAGTCATGTTGATCTGATGCGACCATTGCGCTGCGCATTGCGCTGCAGCGCATGTACATGAACATGACTGTCCATGTACATGTAATGCATGTGTGTACTGCTTACCCACGGCTGCATGGCCAGCGCCCTGGGGCCGCTGGACGTGCGGCCGGATTTCCATGTCCACGACAGTAGTTCGACTGCACGTAAGGCAGTGTGTTCAGTTGGTTCAGGGGAGCCACAGAAAATTACGTCATCCCTGAAACGAACATTGTATATTTCACACTCTGATCATGTCCCCTCGCAAACAAACAGTGTTTGCTATGCTGGGGAGACGTGAGTCAGCTATGCAATGGTACACTACACTTTG